AACTTAAAAAAAAAAAAATATAATATATTATTATATTAAATTATTATATAATTAGTTGATTAATATTATAATTACTGCTTCTGTCAAATTTTATTACGCGCTATAAGCAGCTCATCATGCACTAGCTGTAGCTGATCATAATTGGCCAGAAAACTCATCATGATCAATATTGTAAAATTAATATAATTTCACATATAACGGGATCGTTCATTTTTTTTCGAGGAAAAATTTCCTTCCATACAAATTTTGAAAACGAGTGGCCGTAACACCAAAAGTGCTTCCCGAACCATGGAAATTCTTCAAAAATCAAAGTCGACAAAACAGGTCAAGTTCAAACACGTATAAAACAGCCAGTTTTTGAATTATTTATTAGATATTGTAGATATAGCTTTATAATTGGCCAATTAATATGGCTACCAATTTTCAGAGAGATACCTCCGGTAGTAGTTGTTCTGTAATTTTGTCCAAATTCGACCTCCATAGTTAACTCCTGGCCGAAGACATTTGTCCAAGGTGCGATGAAAGGCCAACTTCAGAAATTGAAGGAAACGAAGCACTTGAAATGGTTCTAAGGCTATATATGTGTTTCAATTGGACTTAGGAACTATTTGGCTCTTCAAGTACTAAAATCTGATGAGTTTTGAATAGTTTTGTGAATTTGTCGCCAAATGGCTTTGGACTTTGGACAACTCCAGTGGGAGATAGAAAATTTCAACTAGACATCTAGAGAGTTGTAGCGCGTTTTACTGAAATATAACCACATCATTACAGATCTATAGCAATGGAGTTATTTAATAGTTCAAAACTATATTTCTACACAAGCGCAGCTAGTAGATGTCTTCTTGCCTTGAGAAACCACGGTATAATACCAGCCTAATGACACGCCATCCAATGGCAGGTTTTTTCACGTTCAGAAAAAAAATACCTACCACAAGAAACACGAACGCCCTATATCAATCATTATAGACCTCCAAATGACACAACAACCTAGCTTGAATCGATCACTGGTTAATAGTTTGATAGAGGATATCAAAAGTCGCTTCATGCCCCACCTTTTTGGGTTCCAGCGAGGCCACATTCACCAAAATAAACACTCAAATCTAGAGCAAAAAATATCTTATTATTGAAATTACATCAAAATCAGAGGATCACGACATCCATATTGATTCAAAATCTAGTGAATCTTACTCAAGTGATTGGATCTAATCAACATGGTCAAACATTGGTGCTAAACCAACTAGGTCAATGATTTTAATCAACCGCAATTTTTAATTAATCAGCTTTCTTGTCCAGTAATATCGTAAAACAATTTATTTATTTTTTATTGATGTTGAACTTCTTTTCGCTACCACTTCAGCTTCAAAATTGTCCAATACTCGAATTATAATGATTTAGATATGGCTGGAATCGAACCTAGGCCTTTCTGTAAGTAAAAAAAAAGAGAGTTCTAGCCAACAGGATACTAGTTGACTGCTCAAGAAATTAAAGGAAAATTGAACGACTGATTATGGGTCGAGCGTGCCTTTATCAACTTTCAAAACAAGCTAATAACTATGAACACAAGAGTGATTGTCTAATAAAACTAAGTTCAGGATACTCAGAATTTTTCAAGGATTCTTTTGATATGTTTTTGGAAGCTATATCTTTACTTTTTTTTGGCGTTTTGGAATTTAACCAAAGTTTATAGATGTACTATATTATAATTTTAATTTCAAAATGTCTTAAGGAAAATAAAAAAAAATTTGAAAGTCTAATTTTAGCACCATTCAATAGAGAATTCAATGGAGTTTATTTTTCTATTTTTTAGATCGTTTTAATCGTATTGCATTGCGTGAATCTTTGCGTTCAAAATATGCAAAATTCCCATAGTTAAGAAAACTGGTGAAGACACACTTGAAAAACGCGAAACATTTTAACTTAAACCCACAGGAGTACTTCAAAGAGGTTTAATTAGTTCAATGTCATAGATGAGATTAAAAGAGTAGCACCATTGAAACCAGCGGGGCGTAAGGATTCGTTTGATACTATTTTGTTTATGTTTCTGGGTTGGTGTTGTGTAAACAGACGCGTTAAAAGGGTATCAGCTACAAAGGTAAACAAACTTCAGAAAACTTCCTCTAATATGTTATCTATAAAGATACAAGGTTCAATATGGGGCTCTTTTTGATCGCAATGACCCGTAGATTCTACTTGTATTACTTGTGTAATTGTATTTGTTGTGACTAGTGAGTTATTCTTCTTGTCATTTATTGGGTCTTCTTTTGATGCACTTGACGCGCTTTTTCAGAATTGTACAACACATACAATGCACAACGAAAAATAAACAAGATAATACACCAATAAACTACTGAATGGCAGCCACTGGTAACAGCCTTGAACATTCCAGAGGAAATATTATAAAAGGGAGTGATTTCCCACTTTTCTTCCTCTCTTTTTTTGTTACTCTCTTCTCTTAAGACTTATACTATATGAATGTTTTAGTGCTGCTAATGTCAATTGTAATTGACGAACAGTTGGTGGTGAGATAATAATAACTAACTTAATAAAGCTAGAAGTTGATACTAACAAATCTACTGTTATAGTTTTAGAATGTGGTGTTCTCTTATAAGGTGCACTTGGTGATCAAAACTTGACATAAATTTTTGGTTTAGATAACCAATATATACAGCACGAAACAAATTGTGAGTTGAACTTTACTCTAGTTACTTGTTCTGATAGGATTTACTAACATTTAACCATCTACAGTATCGTCTACAGGGTACTAGCTGTGCAAAATAGTGGCATAAGGTATTCAAGATAGTCTCGAGGCACATCATAAGTAAGTACACTCCAGGCATTCTTGACTGGTTTGTTTTGATGATTGCTCGGTTTATTTTGACGTGACTTTACTGGTAACTTGAACCTACTAATTGAACATTAGCATAGAGCTGACCACCGTTTCAATGGGCATTTGTTTACAGCTTTTCGCTATTGGTTTTGGTGTTGCTAGGCTGATATGATTATACTGTGATATGGATGCTATATTTGATTGGGATACTGACTAAACGATCATATGGATAACTGGAATGCAATATGATTATGTTCAGCTAGCTTTAAGAGCATCTAGTTTCATTTCATATTGTTCTTGATGTCCAGCTTTGAAACTACCCCAGATTTAGATTTATCGTATATAGAGCTATATAACCAACCCAAAAATAGATATTATTGCAACCAATCAATTCAAGGACCTTTTGTAATACTGCAAAGCTGATTCTAATGTAATGTAAAGCCTGTATACTCTATGTACTATGTATGTAATTTATCATTTTGAGCTATGCTGCACTTCGTTCTTATGCTAGATGACGATTATTCTTTCGAGTCCAGTTGGCCTACACGTGATAGAAAACGTGACTGATTGTCTTTTGTCTCTTCTCCCAACGGACAAAAATTTTTGCCTGAAAAAAATTTGCCGGCAAATGCTTACATAATTTTGTTAGTGAAATTTTCAAAAAAAAATGAACGATCCCGTTATATGTG